AAAAGGAAAAGGAAGGGATGTGGGCATTTGCTGACGCCGAGAGCTGGGTCTGCTCTCTTTGTGCTGCTTGCCCAGGAGGGCGTATTTTTGGGAAGGGGTGTGTTCTGAGAGTAGGGAGGAAGTCGCCACCCCATTGGAAAGAATCTGCCACCCTGCCTTCCAGCTGAAATATCAGATAGAGTCTGTTCTTCTCCATGGGCAGCAGGAATGAAATGGCCAACGTTTTTTTTGTTTTGTTTTGGTTTTTTGTTTCTTTTTTCTTTTTTGAGAAAGAGATTATATGAAAGAACATGATGTCTTAGGTTTCACAACGGGAAAAAAGATAAGGGAAAAGTGGCAAGTTAGAAAGGCCATTGTGTATGTTATCTCTGTTATTTTAGATTAAGAAAAAGTAAATATGGCACAAAGCGTTTACCGTTTATGCCAGCCTGGTCCAAAACTGTTGCTTTTATCCTTTTTCCTTGGTTTTGCATTCTGGCAGAGGTTTTCCCTGGGAATTTTCTGGTGCTCAGCATCACACTGCCTTGCTAAGGAAGAGATCGGGAGGCCCACTGAGTCATGCAAGGGAGCGGTGCAAAAAAAGAAAAAAAAAATTCCCCAAACTCTGGAGACATTTGGAAACCATTGGCATGCAGGTGCTTAAAAACACATTCTTGGGGCGCCTGGGTGGCTCAGTCAGTTAAGTATCTGCCTTCGGCTCAGGTCATGATCCTGGGATCGAGTCCCGCGTTGGGCTCCCTGCTCAGCAGAGAGCTTGCTTCTCCCTCTCCCACTCCCCCTGCTTGTGCTCTTGCTCCTCTCTCTCTCTCTCTCTCTGTGAAATAAATAAATAAAATCTTAAAAAAAAAAACACACACAAAAAACCACACACACATTCTTTTCCAGTGTGTATATAAAAAGCAGGGTTGGAGTTGCAACACTGGGGTTCCAGATGGAAAGATAAGGGAAAGGTTGGGCATATCCAGGGAGGGCAGCAAGCTGGCTCCTGAGAAGCCTCATTACTCTGGTGAATACAGTCCAGGCCACAACCGTCCTCAGCCAAGCCATTCAGAATCCAGATCTTGTCAGCACTCCAGGGCAGCCTACACTCTTAGAGGCAGACACGCATTAGCTAAGCTTGTAAGACCAATGGCTGAAACTAGCATGCCAATTTATTAAACAGTACACTTTGAACAGTAGACTCACAGAGCTGGGGCTCAGACACTTAGCGTACCCAAACTCCAGTACGTAATCATAATAGCAAAAGTAACAATAAAAGCTAACTTTTACCAGGCTTCTCCTATGTCCTAGTCACTGCGCTAATGCTTTATGTGAATTTTTTCACTTAATCTGAAATAGGTACTTCTATTATCCTCAAATTACAGATGAAAAAGACGGAGGTGCAAGGAAGTTATACTTAATTAGCCCAAGATCATATGTCTACTCCCCATCTGGCCCTTGAACTAGAACTGAACAGGACAGGAAGTTGACAGAAAACCTGAATGAGAGACTTTGTGAGCACATGCATGACCCAGCCCTGGGTGGACACTCCTCACTCAGAAGACAGGTGGTTCTAGAAGCCTACGGAGAAGACATTGGCACACGCTGGGTCGTCCTTACATTGAGACCCTTCAGCTTTGGCCACAGGAATGCTCCACCAACTAGTCTTGTGGACATAGTATCTGGATAAATGGAAGCCAGAGCTGAAGAGGAAGAAGAGGCAGACCGACAGGCTGGTTTAAGAGCATGTGAGACGTGCTTCTCTGAGGGCTCGCAGAAGTTATTCGGGAATACCATAGTGGCTGGAGCTAACAAGGAGAAGGAATTGCCATGGAGACGCATGTGCCCATGTCAGCAGGACCAAGGCATCCTCTCCCTGAAGACAGACGCACAGGGGACACCCCATTGGAACCCATTCGGATGTCACTTGCTCAGGACACTTCCTCTGATGCCCTCCTCCCCCCTTCAGGTGCCATCTGGCTGTAATAGACACGGCATCCTCCGCTTCTGATTTTAGCTCTTATCAAACTGAGTTGAATACATTTCTTGACTGTCTTTCTCCTCTGCTGGACTGTCAGCCCCATGAAGACAGGAGCCCCATCTGCTGGCACTTCTGCTCCAACCCTGCATCTCCTATGATGACAGAGCATAGCAAACATTCAAAAAGAGTATTTCTCGGGCGCCTGGGTGGCTCAGTTGGTTAAGCGACTGCCTTCGGCTCAGGTCATGATCCTGGAGTCCCGGGATCGAGTCCCGCGTCGGGCTCCCT